ACTACGGCTGCTCAGAATGAAGAAACAGGAACTGGCATCGTAAGCAGGCAGCTTGGAGATGATGGGTATGCTGACGAGTATGGCAAAGGGTACTACAGGGACGACAATTTTGGTTATGACAAGTACTACAGTCAGCAGAGCTACGATGGTAAGAAAGACAAGGACATGTACTTCAAGAAGTACAGTGACAACAAATACAACGAAAAAACGTACGAAAAGAAATACGGCGATGACAGGTACGATGAGAACAAGAAGTACGAGGAGGACAAGAAGAAGTATGAGAAGTATGGTGATTATGAAAAGTATGACGATGATGAAAAGTATGATGATGGTAAGAAGGGTGGTGAGTACTACAACAATTACAAGGAGGAGAAGCAGAATGACAAGAAGTATGATGCAGAGAAGTACAACGTGAAGTACCATGAGAAGAACTACCATGACAACGAGTACGAAGAGAAGAAGTATAAGGACAAGGAATACAACAAGAAGGATGACGAGAAATATGGCGAGAGGAAATACGGCAACGAGTATGACAACAAGTTTGATGACGACAAATACAAAGGAGAGAACTTTGGAGTGAAGTACATGGAGGAGTATGGTAGGAAATACAACCGTTACGATAAGAAGAAGTACGGCTACGGTGGCAATTATAACAAGAAATACTATGGAAAGAAGAAGTATAACAAAAAGTATGATAGTTACGGCAAGAAGTATTATAAGTACGACAACAAGTATGGCAGGAAGTTTGGGAGGAAGGGTTATTACAAGGACTAGGGCAAGAAGAAGGATGAAATGAGAAGGGGCATGATGAGAAGCAGTACAACACCCAGCAGTACGATCACAGAAGTATGACAACGAGAGCTATGACGAGAAGTACGCTGATATGGAGTACAAGAGTAACAGCTGTAACTAGAGGTGAATGAGCAATCATTCAATTAAAACTTACAAAAGATTACGCTTTCCGAAAATTATTGCCATTGCCATGCACGGGAAGTTTGACCAGAAGAGACAAAATACGTAGAGTGAAAAATCTGAGTTCATGCACGCACTGCATGAGGATTTACTTTCCTAGAGGATCCAACGTGTACAGCTGACTGAGTGGCAATGACCTCCAGGATGACAGCCGAGCTCTGAGTGCAGTCTTGGTACATGTTAGTGAAACATCGATCATCGGCAAAGTTGGCACACTCGAAGTGGACTAAGCAGAAGAATAAGAGCTTGATTTGCTCATTCCTGCTGCAAAGACAGCTCAGAAGGGTAGTCCGAATAACTAGCTGTATTCCAAAGCAAGTGGAAATGTCATGGTCAGAGTTAAGATCTTGATACAGGAATGGGACACTGGACCCGGTTTCCAGTCCGTTTTAAGGTACTTTTGTCGAACGGATGGTCTAGGTGATTCTGTGCTGGTATGGTGAAATGCTCACTTATTTCTGAGCTTCAAGTGAATTTTGGAAAGTTCTCAGTCTTTAGAATGGGATGTAGGACCCGGTTTGTAGCATTAAAAAGATATATATTTTGAGCAGTTGGTTACTCTGCGAGCTTCGCTCCTAAGCAAAACTGGCTGAGGCTGCCAGGATAACTCCGGGTTGAATTGTGAGGTCCCTGGCCTCATTCTTTGTTGAGCAATACAGATATGAGCTTCCCAAAAAAAAAAAAAAAAATGCGTTTTTTGATCTTAAACCGCCTGCAAGCCACTAACCTACCCGCGGTGCTGATATTCATGCCCCCATTTGGGGAGTGACTCCTGTGGACGCTCCTTAATGCACTCTAATTCTTCTCACGATATTGCATAATTTGCGAGTGTGCGAGCCCCAGCACAGAGCTGGTAAACTTTGTGATCATGTATGCTTCTGCAAGGAAATAAGCAATGAGAACATTCGTAAAGTGGATTTCAACGAAATAAGCAATGAGAACATTCGTAAAGTGGATTTCAACGAAATAAGCAATGAGAACATTCGTAAAGCGGATTTCAACACCTCATAGAGGACCAGACGTAATTGAGCCGAAATGAAGGCAGAAATCAAAGCGAAATGCATACCACATAGGAACGAGCAATACAGCGATCCAGGTTCGGCCGTAAATGGGGTCAGACACATTTAAGAGTTGGACCCCACAGGGCCGTGGAAAGGAAAAACTTTGCCGTGAAACTGTTTCCAGGACCCCACAGCCTGCAGCAGATGTCCACGGAAAGGTGAAATTTCTCCCGCAAACCGTTTTCCGGGACCCCACAGACCGAATATTGCGGCTTGGAAAAACGTAGTTTTCTGTTTTCACATAGTCCGCAGTCTGGAAAGGTCTCATGGGAGGATTCCTTGCCGCAATTTTGTGCCAACTCTAGAGGGTAGGGGGGATGGCGTGTCATTCCTGCAAAAGTCTCGGAAGAGGCAGCAGCCAATAGCAAGCAAGAGTGCCACAAAAAAAAGAAGGAAAAACAACGAAAACGAAAACGAAACAAACGAGTGCCGAGGGAGAAAGGCAACGATTGGCTCAACTTATTTCCAAAGGTTTCCCATGGCGCATTTGGTCCTCCATGGTGGGGTCCCCTCCAAACTGCTTTCCAGCTTTCCAAAATTCTTTGCCCCTTTTTTTGGTCGGACGGTTTTTCCATCCTTTTTCCTGTGGGGTCCAACTCTAAGACGGACTCTGAGGCAGGCCCGTGCTCCTGAAAATCTGTCTGCAACGCAACGCAGCAGTGAGGGCAGATACTGACACGAGGACTTTCGACTGAGCTCTGGCTGCATTTGCTGTCAGATACATCCGCCGGCTCTCGTAATTGCGGCCAGATTACATCCAGGAAAGTGCCAGTGTGACTACGCAAAGCTCAAATTATATTAGGCTGGGACCCCACAGGAATGTGGAAAGGAAAAAAATTGCTGTTGAAGTGTTTCTTTTTTTTTTTTCTTTTTCTTTTTTTTTACAGGGCGATGGCCTTGAGGTATTATCATTGGACTGACCAGCCCGGGTGAATTCAATATTGTGTCTAATCTGACATTGGGTGGCCTTTTCATCCCAGGGTGGCCTTGATTTATTGCCTTCAGGGAACCCCCAACGGGGGACACCGGCCAGGGGACAGCCGGTGTCAGAGGGACCAAGCATCATCCGAGTGGCCAGTCCCTGTGCCTCCCCGATTACCCCTCCCCCTATGAACATCAGCAGAGACTGCTTTTTAATGCCAATTGGGGGCACCAACCTGCTATCTCTAGGTGGCGGGTGCGACCCCGCACCCCGCCGAAAAGGTTCTGGAAAAGCTGAAATGTCTTCAAAAGACTGTTTTCTGGAACCCCACAGCCCGCATTTTGTGTCCTAGGGCTAGGTCCCACTTGCACGAATTAAGAGATACTGACTGTAGATAGCAAAGATCATCAGCCCAAATCTCCTAATTTGCACAAGTGGGACCTAGCCCCCGGAAGATGGTGTATAGACGTTTTCACATCATCTGCGGGCTGGAAAAGGCTGTCGGGAGGAATTCCGCTGCGAAATTCTGCTGAAAGCAGAGGATAGCCGTGTGCCATCTTCAACTTTTCCAAGGTCAGGTCCCATTATCGGACCATCGAGTGTCCACACATGCCACACTACGGGGGGTTCCTCAGGTCCAGCCATCGAGTGTCCACACATGCCACACTACGGGGGGTTCCTCAGGTCCAGCCGAGGCCTACGGAAAAAAAAGAAAAAAAAAAACGCTTTGCCGCAAAACGTACTCTGCCATGGGGTCCCAGAAAAAAATACTTCCCAACTTTCCAAAATGACTTGCCCTCTTTTCGTGGCCCAACGTCTTTTCCATCCGCACTGCAGTGGGGTCCTGGCCTTATAGGCTCAGCCATCTATAAGGATAGTGGGATCTGCAGTCGTCTCTCCGTTTTCTTTTCTTATTTTTTTTCTCTCCGAACTCCCCACTAGTAAAGAGGATTGGCTTGAAGCCCTGAATCTGAACGTGTTTGTGGAGAGGTTCAGAAGATCGCTATTGATCTGCTTTTCTGCCCCGACTGCCTTCCATTTGTAAAGGTGTCTTGACCTGAGAGACCRGTTGCCGGCGGACAAGCTGTAGCGATTTCATGCTCTTTTGGTGCATAGTGGTGGGGGACCACAGGGCAGCACCTGGGCGCCCAGGTGAGTGTACACAAATGCTTCTCAGTTTCATCGAGTGATGTGGTGTGTACAACCAACCAGCCAGGCAGTCAAGCAACCAATCAACCAATCAATCAATCAATCAATCAATCAATCAATCAATCAATCAATCAATTAATCAACCAATCAATTAATCAATCAATCAATCAATCAATCAATCAATCAATCAATCAATTCAATGAATCAATCCATCAATTTTAATTTGTTCTGAAGTTTCCAATCAAGGGTGAGAAACTACCAATCGCGGGTGTGCGAGTGAAGTTTGCTGGAATTGATCGGAGTTCGTGCAAGTTGATGAAACTCATTACAGTTTTTTTTTTTTTTTTGGCTGAGTTTTGTGTAATCTATGGAGAAATCTGATGGAATTCCTCACGGGCTTTTTTTTTTTTTTTTTTTTTTTGGGTGTAGAATAAGGAGAGGTGTACTCTCTTCTCCACTTCAGGGGCAAGGTCCCACGCGCTGATTAAGAGATGCTGGCCGTAGATAAACAAGATCAATGGCCTATATCTCTTAACACATGCTACCATGTTCATCCGAATAGAACGCCCTGTGATTATAGCCGTATTTGGGGCAACCTTCAGTCCGGATGCAGAGATAATGACCGGGCGCTCTATTCGGGTGAAGACGGTAGTGAGAATTAGGACGTAAGCCTTTTTTTTCCCCTTTTTTTTCTTCAGCTCTTCTCAAGAAATTTTATTACTTAATTTCTTGGAACTCCTATCAACACTTTCTTTTAAGGTATTTAAGCACCTTCTTGTTGGACTCCTCCAACGCACCTGGTCCACGACTGCGTCCAAATGCATGTAGAGTGTTGAGAAGTGGAGCGAGGCCCTTGTGCATCAAAATAGTGCGTCGTTCGACACTCCTCGGGGACGCGATTCCGAGGATTCCGTCGTCGTTCCACCTGTCCTCAGAGCCAATTTTCGGAACAGAAATGTGGAAACACTCCGAGGACAAATCCTTGGGCTCCGAGGATTTCCCAGCCAAATCGTCCTCGGCTCCAAGGGACCTCGCGAGGTCCTTTGGAGCCCGAGGATCCGCGATTATCGGGTTGTCGGCGGCGAGTCCAGAAGGGAAAATGGAGGTCGAAGGTGGTCCAGTGGTGGTCCACCGGCCAGAAGACGGACATCGCGAGCCGTCCACGTCCAAAACGTCCACCAACGGCCTCGTCTTTTTACCGTTGGCGGGGATTGGCAGTACGGCCCTGTAGGTTCGTCGGGCGGCCCCACGGCGGTGCCGTGGCGAGCATCGGACGTTTTCGGCCGGCTCCTGGAGGGGTCGTGGCGTTCCCGCGGGCTTCCCAACGGTCGAAAATACGGATTTTTTAAGCGTCCACCCCCAGCCGGTGCTTGCAGCAATTTCGTACGTTGGCGTCTTCCCTCGCGCAACGTGTGTCTCCGGTCGCCGCGATTGCGACAGTGCAAGTGCGTGTCCTGTCGTTCATGGCTGACCTGTACCGCAGGCTCCCTTTGCTGCTGCTTGTCGCTGTGCTGCTGTTTGCCGTTGTCGTCTTTCATATCTGCATCGTCGGTCGCGTCCCTGGGAGGAAACAGACGCTGCGAACGCCGAAGACGGCCAGGAAGATGGAGAAGCTACAGACGAAGACCACGCTGTCCGTAGGGGCTGGGGGGTTGTCACGTCAGCGTTGCAGCACTGCGGAAGGCGGCAGGCGGCCGTACGACCCAACGCTGTACAGTTACCTGCCGTCCCACGAGATTCCGTTGCCTCCGAGTGACGACGACGGTGACGACCCCCGATCCTCAACGGTTCCTCTAGGCAGCGGTTTGACACAGGATTGGATGGGGAGCCAGTTGTACAGACAGGCCTCGACGCCGACGTACACTGATCTGCTGGAGGGGCGGACCCCGGTTGGTTATGACGCAGGGCTCGTAGATCTCAGCTTCGGTTTGAGGTCTGGGAGTGGCCAGGACGTCACGCACACCGTTCTCGTGAACCCAGCTTGTGGCACCAACCACACACCGCCTTCGGTGGGGCCGTCGGGCCTTCCGGATACCCGCGCCCGGTGTTCTGGTCAGTCGGGCGACGAACGTGGACTCCTTTCACGACGGGATGACGACGAGGGCTCCACTGCGGAGGTCGTGGGACGAAAGGTTTGGGATGATTATCGGCGACAATCGTGCCAATCGAGCACGTCCGGCATAATGAGAGGGGTGGCGAAGATTAATGTAGGGGCGGACGATACACTCGGCGATTGCGATGGTGCAGGGGGTGAAGATTGCTCGGCAGGCGACGGGCGCAATGATAACGACGAGGACGACGACGGGGAGATGGAGATTCCTCCGGTAGGGAAGAAACGGGGAGGGCCAAGGGCCACAAACAAGTTCACTGAGCCGCGCGCGGGGCGGAGAGGCAAGAAGAGTGCGGGAGATACGTCGGCAAGCGAGGGAGCAAAAAGCAGGGATTTTTGGACCGTGGAACACATGATTGCTCTGATCCGAGCTAAAAGAGACCAGGATTTGCATCTCGCAGGCCTCGGCCACAACATCGGAAGGATGAAGACGAAGACATGGAAGTGGGCCGACGTCGAGAAGAGGCTCGTGCAGATGGGGGTGACGAGCAGAAAGGCCGAGGACTGCGGGAAAAATGGGACAACCTGTACCTGCAGTTCAAAATCGTGCACAAGTTCATGGGAGAGTCGGGGAAGCCTGATTTCTTCACACTAACGCCGCGGGAGAGGAAGGAGCGGGGGTTCGATTTTCGGATGGACGAGCGTGTGTATTCGAAGATGAAGGCCATGTCCAGGGGCGATCACACTATACACCCCACGAATCTCGTGGACACGGGTGCGGCTGGAGGTGTTAAATTGCCCGGCCCACATGGAGGTCGGAACGAATCCGGCGGCAATGACGGATGCGGGGATGGACAGGACGACGATCAGGGATCGACGAGGGATTCAACGTTCAGCGGCGGTGGTGTTAGCGGGTGCGGCAAACGGAAGAATGTAAGACAACAGACCTTCGACACCATTGCGGACGTCATGAAGGAGAACGGGAATCTGATGGCGACGACGGTGGACAGCGCGAGCAAGAGGCAGTGCTCAATTCTAACGAGGAGAGCTAGAAGTGCAGAAGGACCACTACGTGAAGGCCGACCAGGCAAACTTCATGATGTGCAATGCCCTTATGGAGATTGCTAAAGCGATCCACGAACGATCCTAACGTCGCTGGGCCACACATGTCCAACGTCCATGCGAATGCCACGTGTGCACTTCCGGATCATCGGCGTTGCCGTCGTCCTGCGTGCTGCAGTGCGGTGGTGGGCAGGTTGTGAAGAGACGGCGGGTCGTTTTTGCAAGCGCGTTTTTTTTAAGCGTGGGTTTGTTTGATGAGTGTAAAGGGTATTGATTGCTGTCATGCCCGTCGGCACGTCCTTCGGTTTCACATTAGGACGTCCGATTTTGAATATTGTTTAACGCCTGTTGTTGTGAGGCGTTGCCGCCACGCGTGGATGGCGATCTAGCAGGGTCTTTTTTTGGGGGGTGTCGGTGGCAGGGTGTGTTTTTCGGGCGGGAGGGGAAAATGGAGGACAGGGGTGCCTCGAGTTTTTGGGGGTGGAGGACGAAGGATGTGTGTCGGGCTCTTTCGACCTCCACCAGGGTCCTCGTGCGTGCCTACACGAGTTGTTGGCCATGCGAGGGATCACCAGCAGCCGGCGGGAAAAATGGTCCATGTACGATCGGCGAAGGGGCGGGCTGTTGTGGACGACGAGGCGTGTCCATGGTGTACGCTGAGAGCGCAGTATCTACAAAAGGAGAGTCCGGGAGGCAGTCCATACGACAGTACTTCATTTCCCACGGCTCCAACGGTAGCGTCTGTGCACTGATTCGTCGCCGCACGCCTGCACTTCCGCTTCGCCGCTCCACGCTCGAGCTTTGGGCTCTGCGGGCAGTGCCCCTTCAAGCGCGGCAAGCACGTGCTCGTTTCTGCTCGCCATCATCGTCGCGGCTCCTGGCCAGTGCCCCTTCGGGCGCATCGTCCACGTGCTCCTTCGTCCACGTCGCCGTCGTCGACCTCCACGCGTCCACCGTCCACGTGCTCCTTCGTCCATGTGCTCGTCGTTTCCCCGCCGCGGACGAGATGGTCCCGAGGAACGCCTCAGGGAAGGGCAGGAAAGATAGCGGAGCAGGCGACGGGGGGGAAACCCAGAAAGGCAGAGGCCACGTGCCAAAGTCGAAAAGGCAGCGCGTTGATGAGGCGAGCTCCGAACACACTGAAGACTTTCAGCCAGACGAAGTGTTGATGGTGGATGCGCAAGGGACGACAGGGGAGATGCGATTGGGTTTCGGGCGGGATGGGGTGTTGAGGGAACAGCTGTCCGCTCTCAAACAGAGCCTCGTTCATGTTGGTGTTGCCGGGGCGTTGCAAAGGACCCCGAAGGCGGCAGGGGTTGTCATCACGGAGGTGCGCGTGCCGAGGCAACTTCCGGCGGTGATGGACCAGGGCCATGCACGTCAGCCACTCCCCCTGCAACAGGCGGGGGCTTCAGGGGGAGGGAAAACACAGTCCGCGCAAAAGGGCGATGCGACGGCGAGCGACACTCGGACGGCGGCGGCGGATCACAGCAGTAGAAGCGGACTCGCCGAAGGTGCGACCGAGGAGAGGGTCGACGACGTCCGCCGCGACGAAGGAAGAAGAGATGGAAAGCGGGAGGGCGATGACGACGACGACCGTCCACTTGTCACGAGGTTGAAGGGAGCGGCAAAGGAGGATGGTCTGGAGGAGAGGTCGAAGTTGTGGGTTTATTGCGACGCTTTCTGGGGTCAGGGCCCGAGGAAACCCTTGAGGGAGGCGGTTGGCGAGTGCGCGGACTACTTCGTCGCCATCACTAACGGAGACGCAGGGGCTGAGCCGCCTGCGATGCTCATAATGTCGCCAAACGACGTGCCGCGCTTCAAGATCGAGGACCCTGCGCAGCGTGAACCAGCTCTGCGCAGAGCGCGGACCGTGGAAAAACTGGTGTTGCGCACCATCCATGGCTGGATCTTCAAATCGTCGTCGAGGTCAGTTGGCTTCGCTCGTGCAGAGTCATACATCAGCGTCGACATTGCTACAGACATCGCATGAGCAGTTTGGCAGGGACACGAGTGGTCGAAAGTGGTTTCCCCTGCACTCGTCTACCACATGCTGGCGATGAAGATGGACGTGCCTCTGTGGTTCGCGGGGGTGAAGATTGTGGATCGGCTTGAAGACGACGACATGGCGGCGCGGCAGGACGCGTCAGTTCTTCACGTCGCGGAGTGCTGGAAAGATGCACTGTGGTGTGGACAATGGGCGGACGACGGCCGCATGAAACATGAGAGGTGGTCTCGGCTTGCGGATTGTCTTCGAGCGTTGTTGAGCGCGTGCATGTGGATCGTGCGCATGGGTGGTGACGACGACCGCTCGCACTACGAGGCGTGGTTGTACTCGTCCATGGTCGCCAAACCCACAACGATAGCGGCGGGGTCGTACATCTTCAACTGGAGGCGACACATCGTCGACAACGCCAACCTCGTCTTGGATCGTATAGGGAAGGATCACCTCACGTTGGGAGATTACCCGCACTGCATTCTGGAATGGTGTGATTGTGGGTTGGTGTTCGGCCAGAACGCGGCCCTGAAGAATGCAGCGGAAGCCGTGAAACACGGCTGGATCGGCAGCGGGCCCGCGGCGGAGGAAGACGGAGATGAGGGCAGTTGACACGTCGGTTCGTCCATAACGCAGCGGCGGGGTGCGGATCGTCGACTGATTGGCGCGTGGGATCACGAAACGACTTACGCCGCGCCTTCGACTGCAGACGGGGCCGCACGGGCGGGATGGGTGCCGGCGGGTGTTGGTGGTTGAGCGGGGGGAGCGTGAGGTGGGAGGTCCTGCGCAGCTCCAAGGGCGTGTCCACGTCAGCAGACGTCGTGCCGACGTCAGCAGATGTCGTCGGGGTGCATGTGTTGTGAACGATGGTTTCCTTTTTTTTCTGTTTTTATTTGGTGATTGGAGCGCACTTTGTACCTTCGCTCCGCAATAGGGTTTCTTGGCTCGGTGGATGACACCGCCGAAATGTACGTAGGTGGCAGGAGCAGTCTGTGTATTGTGCGGTACGCTTCAACGGTCGATAGTCAGAAGCAACAGGAAATCGCCGCCTGAAAATTATTTTGTTGTTTAATGAATTTTCTTAAATTTATGTTTGTGTTTCGATGGCGTGTGTTTGCATGCTTAAGATTGCGTATGCAGTCATGCTTTTCTTGTCTTCTGTGTGGTTTTATCATGTAACGCACGCGTTAATGGCCATCGCATTCTCGTCCACATCTTGTTATGTATGCGGCCCTTTATTCGATCTTAGGAATTGTGTTATCGTTATCATCGCCGGCACCTGAGAAAACAAAAGATAACAAGGAAAAGAGGCAGGAACCTATACACGCACTCTCATTGTCATCTTTTTATGCTTGGTGCCCGTGTTTCCGTTCCTGATGCCATCGCGAAATCCTGATGATCGCACGCAGCGGAAGGAAGCGAAAAAAAACATAAAAGAAATAAACAATTAAAAGGAAGGTCGCCGCGCAGTTGCCGGATAAACACATCTGTCGTGAGTTCTTCTTTTTTTTCTTTGTCGATGCATGTGAGTCGTCAGTGCAACAAGGAAGCTTTTCTGACTTCATTTACCAAACGCAGAGAAGCGTAGACGACATGCACAACAGACGATCCATGTAGTAAAAAAAAAAAACATGTTCCCTCAAAAGAAGAACAGCAGTCGGACGCTCCAAAACGTCCATACACAAACATCATGAAAAACACTCAGTGTTCAAGTTCAAGGAAAA